AATTTTGAATGAAAAAAAAAAAAAAAAAAAAAAATTTTTTTGTAATCTTACAAAATTATAAATTACAACGTTATAAATACCGTTTTATTATTGTTTAATAATAATATAAATAATTTTTGTCGAGATTTTAATCAATTTTCGCCTAATTACTGGAACACTTTTTTTTATAGAACAATTAGTGAAACAAATTATCTATCGATATCGTTTAACATTTAATCGTAATAAAAGAAAAAAAGAAAAAAAAAAAAAAGCTTTTTATTGTAACAGATATGATAATACACACGTTAGATTGAGCTTTGGCGTTAAGAAAAGAAAAAAGATCCGAGGGGGACCGGTCGAAATAAGAAGAAGGCCTCCTCTCGAATCATGCCAACATGAAATGGAAACGCGACCCTGATTGGCTCAATGGAGACGTTCCAGACGGATCTTGGGTCAATTAACACTAATAAAAGTAACACCGTCTCTCTACTAACAGTGGTCCACTCTCAACCGTTGAAAACCTTCTCGCGGTTATTTATGTACATTAGTTACACTGACTATGGGGTACCACTCTTTCTCTCCATTACAAATCACTACTTATTCGTACGAACTGATTTTATTTCTCCAACTTATCACTTTTGTTCACGTATTACTAATACACGTTTAATATATTTCGCGTATTACTAATATACGTTTATAACTGTTCACAATTATACATGAATGATTTTAATAATTAGTTTTTATTTTTTTAATTATTCGAGCTTTAATCGTCAAATCCCTAAAGATGACGTTAATCATTCACATTAGTATGACAATATTTCGAATTTATTAATACGTGCAAATTAATTATGACAGTGGACTTAAATCAACATTTTTTGTTTCCTATATTTAGGAATAATTAGGAATTAATTATATTCCTTTTTATTTTATATTCCCTTTAATTTAAATTAAATTAATATCCTAATATTTAGGAAATATTAATTATTTATATTAGAAAAAATTAATCTTACGATGAATTTTTCGAAATTTATGTTTAATCTGTTGTTGAATAATTATTGGCTCAACAAATTATAATGACTGCAGTTAATCAATTTATATCGATATGAAACAAAAATTTTAATTTAAATAAAAAAAGGAGTGGAAAATTATTGCTAATAATTGATTTTCTGTTTTTGTTTACATGCAATGAATTTTTCTTCCTTTAAACGCACACATTTTCAAATCTAATCACTTTTAACAGAGATAAAAGAGAAAATCACTTTTAACTTTGCTTATTTTTTGATTGCGGCGCTAAATCGTAAAAGAAAAAAAGAGAGAAGAAAGTAGGGGGAGAAAGGTTGTGGAAGATACAGAGAAAAAGAAAGAGAAAGAAAAAAAATAAAAAGTAAATGGACATGTTGGATACGATTGATTCACAGAAGCTTTTAAAGGACAAACTCACACGATATAAGCCAATAAACGTAAAACGAACGAACGAAACAATCGACCCGCTGTGTGCGCGCGCAATTTCGAAGCAATTAATTCATCGATATCAATCCTTCCTCCCCCCCCCACTCACCCAACACAAGTAAAGACTCTCCTCTAACGCTCTAAAGTCAAATGTTATTATACCGATCTAAAATGGCTACGATGATCAAGAGTATATAAAAGAAGAAAAAAAAAAAAAAAAAGTTTATCGACACTTTTTGACAGACGTCTCCCTTTTTTCCAAGAGCTATCGAGTTTCCTTTTTATTTCCGTATAAATAGGTACGAACGATTGACGAAAAGAATTTCATTTGGAAATAACAATTTTTTATTTACTTATCACGACTTTCTTTATAAATATCATTTTAATTTATCGTTTAGATTTCCCGTGACAAATGACAAAATATTTACAACATTTGTTGGTAATTAAAATACAATTAACGCGCATTCTTTTTGTATTATGTACAAAGTGTTCTTTCGTTTTTGTATGGATTCGTATAAGTAAATGGCCAAAGCAGAAAAATTACAGAAAATTGTGTCGAATAACAAGATTGACAGTAAAAAAAAAATATATATATATATAAACGTATCGATAGATTTAATTATTAACATCGATTGAAAGCTGATCCTTCTTTAAAAAAAAAAAATATTACGAAACACGATTACGAAACATTCAACGAAAAAGTAAACAACATTTTATATGACATATCCGGTTTATTTAAAAAAAAAAATGAATCATTCGAAAAACAATTGAGAATAGGTCACATGGATATTACAAAATAACAACGGTATCGTTAAAAGTGTCATTGAATAAGTAGGGTTAAATTAATAACGATCCCCTTTACAGAAAAGTTATTTATTTCTTAATTATTTCGTCGAAACAATGTACAGTTCTATATAGTTTTAACAAAGTTGACTTCAACTTACAGGGTAAGCTGCTTTTTCGATAACTCGACACAATACCCCGACATCTTGAAAGTTTGTCTCTTGTAAGAGAACTTTGTACAGTCTGGTAAAAGTCCATGAAAAGTAAACGAATATAACAAATAAATTAATCTTTGGTTTCGTATTATCATTTAACGAAAACAAGGAATCTTTCTTTGTCAACTGGACTCTATCGTAGACGAAAAACTTTTTTAATTTATCTTAAAACGTAATATAATCAAACATCACATGCATAAAAACAATACGATTCAAGGTAACAGGATCTGTATAGATTTTCATACTAATTATTACAGAAATCGAAGATTAATATGATCTTATACGATTTATCAATTATCAAGTTATGGTTGTTACATTATTTTCGAAGTAATAAGATAATACGTTATACTTGTAGAAAAAGAATATTTCGAAGAATCTTGAGATACATTTCAATCTGAACTTATTGCTGTATACGAGAAAGAGAATAAAGGAGAAAAAGATTATTTTCTATTGGTCAAGCGTAACGGATTCGACCAATGGCGAGTCCTACCTTCGAATCGCACTGAAACGTACCAACCATTCGCTTTTACCTGTATAGGTCTCGGTCGGTAATGATCATTGTTCTTAACGCTGTAACTAATAATAAAAGGAAACTTTGTTGTTCCTTTAAACGTGTTGTTTTCTCATTCGACAAAAAGATTGAACACTTATGTTTATTTGTAAGTAAAACCAAGTCATTAGATTAGAAGCAAAGTTATGCATTCATTCTCTACAGATCTAATGGTTAAAAGTGTTTCGTAATTTCTTGACTAATGATACCTTACTATTAACTAACACACAGGAAGAAATAAAAATATAACGAATCTGAAACAATGTAAACATTTGTTTTAATTATAAATAATACTTAAAAAAAAACGTACAAAAATTACTTTTTAGTACAGATCGAAATAAAAAAATATCAGTGTCACGTATTGCATAGACATTCTATCGTAAAGTAGAAAAAAAAAAGAAAGTCTGAATGAGAAGAAAGAAATTCTTAGAAAAGAACGTCGCCTCAGTGCGTTCCTTCGAACGGTGACGAATCACAGGGCCCTGCAAATGGGCCTAAGGCCGGTGTGTATTCCCCTCTACCGACCGTGTTGTAAAAGATGCCAATCGCAGCCTTTCCAAGCACGGCGGTACAGCGCATGCGCATTCGACCAATGGAAACCACGCGTAGAACGTACGACGGTGAGAGGTACAAGAAAAAGAAATAAAGAAAGAAAGAGAGAGAGAGAGAGAAAATAAGAAGAAGAAGAGATAGAAGATAAAAGAAAGAAAGAGAAAGAAAGAAACAGATATACGTGCAACCTCGACAAAGATATGCTTCACTCACCGAGAGCTCCATAGAGAAGAAGAATAAGTGGTAGAAGATGCCAGGGCCTCGCCCAGGCCCCAAAACTACTCGAGGCAGCATTGCTGCTTCGTTTTGTCTTCGTCTTCCACATAGCTTTTATATTTTCCTTTTTTCCGTTAAGTTCTCACTATACAAACTTTCCTCGATAGAGGCGTCCTTGTTAAGCGTCAGCGATGTTTTCGTTGCTTCGTCCTTTTCTTCTTCCTCTTCCTCCTCTTCTTCTTCTTCTTCTTCTTCTCTTCTTCCTCCTCGTTACTCTCGTATAATGAGAGAAATAACACACACAGTTTCTTCGTTACCGTATGATCGCAGAGTTGTTCACCGGGTTCGAACATACACTATTATAGTACACCATCATCTACACGCACTAATATCATGGCCTACCTTCTCCTCTCTACGTATTCCTTCTCTTCCTCTTATTTCTACTTTTTTTTCCACCTTTTTCCTCTTTCTTTTTTTTTTCAAAACAGAAACACACGTCACACGTACGGTCCGACGTACGTTCAACATACGCGGCGAGAATCTCTTTAAGCCGAAGACCGACGCCGTACAAACGCGCCTACCCGACTGAACGACGACGACGCGGACGCGAACGCAAGCCACTCGGTTTGCCTGCCCTGATGTGTACCCGCCTGCTTCTTGCCTGCAACTCTCTCTCGCTCTCTCACGCTCTGCGTACCAGCCTCGAGTTTCCCCCACCACCACTCGTTCACCCGTCCCTCTCCAGGACGTTACCCCCTCGTACCTTCACGCCACCAAACCCCGCACGAGCAAGCAAGCAACAGAACCGTTACCCCCACCACCACTACCATCATAGCACCGAACTACTTGTTGATCTTCCAACAGGTACGTCCCTATGAACTTTGGTACCACGTCTTTTTTCTAATCTTACGATTTATTTTCTTTACGAGTTTTTCTTTTAATACTTTTTATTACTTTATAATCATCATTTGTTCTACTCCAATTTTTATTCTACTTATTTAAACATCTTACAATTATTTCCCTGTTCTTCTATGTTTTATTATATCGAATTTGATTAGGTTTGTTTAGATTTATTAACTATTTTATTTTATGTCGTATTACAATTCTTGATCGATGATTTAGAGATTTGATCGAAGAGAGAGATAAATGTTTTATTAGAATTGTATATAACCTTTGGAAAATCAATACAATTATTTAGATTCGTATGTATTGTAAGTTCATATACTCAAATATAACAGAATGCATTAGAAATGAAAATATTTTATTAATAAAGTAAACGATTCTAACATACGACAAAAATGCAATGTAACGTATTATGCATGAATGACAACATTTCCTTCTCCCTTCCACAATAATGTTTTAATTTTTCCCAAGGAGAATTTTTGTTTTTAAACCTTGTAAATTACTACTCGGGTCCTTGTATTAAAAATCACATTTTACGCTACGTTTAATGGCTGTACCGGAAACAAAAGTGAATGAGCAGAACATGTCGTTTAAATAACGTCCCCATTTTAATTCATGGAAAATATATTTAGCACGAATAAACAAAGCGAGAACAAAAAAAGATGCATTTATTCGCTTTTCAGATACTGAAGTAAGTGTACATTCAAGTATTTACGTACAGTCAATCAAAGAAATATTCCGATGGTTTTTTTTTCTTTTCATTTGTAAATATAATCACTTTATATTTCGAATTGAAGGAATGTATGAAAATTTTGCAAATTTTGTTTTTACTTATAAAAGTTATACGAGTTATCATTTAAAAATGATCAAAAAATTGGTACCAATTCCGATAATACACTGCTGATGGGAAAGCTCATTTACTATTCAAAAAAATATCTGTAAAAATATTACACACTAACTAAAAGTGAACATCTTCGTAAAGTATATTTTATTTTGCGGTCGGTGACAAACGAATAATTGCGGTTTGCGAAATATTTCGCGACTGGTGATAAATAATAATAATCATCTTTTACCAATTATTCTACTCGGGAATGCAAACACGGATTTGACTTTAACAAATAATCACAACTTATATAACTGGTGTATATTTAGTATTTCATAAAACTTACTGATATCTTATACTATAATACAATTCTATAACCTTATTTATTATTAATATAAAACATAATTTTTCAATCGAAAAAAAAAAGAAGAAAAAAATTTCTAAATATTACTATGATCAACCGTTTACATACGTTTTCCAAAAAAAAAAAATCAAGAAAAGAAACCACGAGACTCTCGCAATAGCGTTAGCAGGATACTACCGAAAGACCGGCGTGTGCAGCAAAATGCAAAAGTTTTATGACGCTCGTTTTCCTCTTCTTCTTCTCCGCTTCCACCACCACCACCACTACTACCACCTCCACCTCCACCTTCACCTTCACCTTTATCTCCACACCACCTCTTATTCCAAAAGCCACGAGCTCTTCCTTGCGACCAACTTCCCCGTTGGACATCTCGAAGAAGCGGCATATTGAAATACATTATTCAAAGCATCTTCCGGTGGGTCTTTCTTGGTTTGCCTGTCCCCTCTTCCCTTCTCTACCACTTCTTCTATCATTTTTTTTTCTTCTTCTCTTCCTCCTTCTTCTTCTTGGCACAGATTTAGACTGTAGAAGACACTTTTGCGAGTCGATGGAGAAGAAAGGGTTGGAAGAGTGAGGGGGGAAGGACATACATTTCTTATTGAAAAGCACCGCTCATTCGTCATACAAACCACCAGTACCGATATAGACACTAAAACTTTAGAAATAAAAAAAAAAAAAGGAAAAATTGCTTCTCCACTCCAACCAAAGCAACCCACCCCAACGATCGTTTCGTGACACACAAATTGTTTCTTTTTTATTCCAATTTTTTACATAACTTCAAATCCAACGGTTCTTCTTCTTCTTCTTCTTCTTCTTTTTTCTTTTGTCATATATATTATTATAGATCTAACGTGCGAAACTGTTCGAAAATTGATTTATTTCCGCCCCCTGTTCTTTTTCGATTTACGTAATCCCTATAGTCATTGTCAGTCTGATGCGAGTTTGAAGTTGAAGTACGACATTTATCTCGTGGTCTTTCGTATGTGTATGTGTGTATGTGTTATCAGATATACTTATGCAAAGAAAGGGACAAATATAGATAAAGATTGGAAATGGTATCAAATGGAAAAGGAAGAAACGAACTAACTTATCTGAAGAAAAAAAAAAAAACCCCCCCAAAAAATTGTAATTCTGGATACGGAATCTACGACAGGAAACGTATACGTTTTTCAAAAATACACGGGCATCGCTAATGGCTTCGTAACCAGACACACTGTTGTGTTTGCTTTGGTATCGCATCCCGTACACGTTCGTATTCACGAGAAATTACGGTAATTATTGTACCTTTGCCAGTTAATTAGGAACTCGCGACGTCATTCGCGTTCTTCTTTTTTTTTTTTATTTCTACCCTGTATGATAAAGAAAGAGAAAGAGAAAGAGAAAGAAAAAGAGAGAGAAGTTAGTACATACATTCGATACGTTTTCTTTCATTTTTTTAATTTGTTTTTTTTTTTTTTTTTCAAAGCTACGTTAAATAAAAAATATTATATACAGCAACCGTTAAAGGAAATCATATTCCAATTTTTTTAAATAAATTATTAACGAAGAAATAAATTAGACAATATAGATGTGATTGTTCGATGGATATACATATATATGTATAGATAACCATTGTATAACATTGTAAATAGATTCGTAAAAAATACAATGTTATATGAAACTCAGAGTTCATTATTTCTAACTAATGTAAATAATATCAGTATTGTAATTATGTTAAGCAAAAATTCCTGGTATCCAGTTCTATAGAAATAGAAATAGTTGTACAAAGATTTGTCGCAATTTATGAATCATGCTATAGTGAAGCAGTATTATAGGAGGATTAGCTGTATATAAGATTTGAAATATGTATTGGATCTTGTGATATAAATGTGTGTAAATATTACATGTACATAAATTTAAACGACACTTTCTAGAAATGACACGTAAGTCGATGAAACATTAATAATATACGGTCAAATTACAATCGATTCTCGTAACGAACTGTAAATTTGATGTATCTATCGTATTGATCGAAGTTGTCATCGAGCTTCGTTCTTAATTGATCACAGAGATGCACATTGATCGCATTCAAAGGTCACACAAAACACATATTTACATGTTTATACATCCTAAATACATATGCCTACTTCGTATGATAATAAATTGAGGTATAATGTGATATTATCATTTTTATCTTTTTTTCATATATCATTCGAAAATAAATGATCACATCTTAATGAATCGATTTAAATTACAATATTAAGAAAAAGAAACGGAAAATAGAGAAAGAGAGTGCAATGGACCATTAGAATTACAGGAAGATAACGGTAACGAGGAAACAAGAGAAGTATCGTTAGCCAAGTCATACTTATGTACATATACACATACGTAACTATGTATCTGTGTGTCTGTATATGATACACATACGTAAATATCTTCTTCCTTTCCTATTCAGTACGCTCTATATAATTCGAGACGGTTATTGTGATCTTAACGGTCAAATTCTAGACAACGTTATCTTGGTAGTTGAGATTGCTTAACAAGAACCCTATCAAAATTCTTGTTTGAATGTGTAAATGTATTGAGAAGAGGATGAAACAGTTAATCTTGTATTTTCATATGAATAAAATATGAATTTCAAGTAGGGAAAAGGGCAGCAGTGTATCCTTTCTATAGAATATCGTATTGGTTTCTAAGTTTGGTAAGTTATACGTTTTGAAAATCAGTTTAGTATAGGTTAAATTGATGCTTTTCAACATTTTTATTATTAGATAGTATATATGGATATATAGAATACTTCTTGGACGGTAGTTTATATCTTTCAGTTAATTATGTTACATCAAATGCATATTTTTTTATGATAAATGCATAGAAAATATGTACAAATAATAAATTAATAAATATAACACTAGAATATTTGTAATAATAAATAAGAAGAAAAATTTTTTCATTGTTTTCTCGATAATAATAATTATTAATTAAAAAATAAAATAATTAAAACTTACGTACCTTCTAAAAAATCTCAGTTAGAATTCACCTTTTTTACCCTTTCATTTATTTATTGTTATTTATGTTTAATTAAATCCTAATTTTTGTCTTTTCTTATCAGCAATCTTGATAAAAAAAAAAAAAATACTATTCTTGAAATTTTATTTTTTTGACCCGCAAACTTGTGTAAATTAAATTTGGTGATATGCGTTCATATATTTTAACTACATTTGATAAAATTGTCTATTATAAAGAGTATATATAAATTATTTCATCGAAATTTTGAAAAAAAAAAATGTATAACGAGTTGATAAATGCAATAACTTCATGGTTGGATATCGTATAACAATGAAAATCCAGGATATACACTGGAAATGTACAGTTTATAACTGCCAAATAAAGTAACGCGATATTCTTGATCAAAGCAACGATACTATTCTACTACTACTGATATACATTCACGTGTGTCTTTATATATGCATATAGCTATTATATGAACCTGTAGGATGAACCTTTATATATATATATATACATCTATTTAAATATTACATACGTTCTCGCTTGACGTCTAACACAGCAGATTAATTATTCCGTGTA